TTGATTACAAATTATTAAGTAAACCGTAGAGAGGGATTGAACGAGGAGGGTGAGTTTGTAGGGGGGTTGGAAAGCAACGCTAATGATAACGACAAACACGTCCGTCGACAATTATCGACGTTAAATTCGTTGAGCGATACAATTCTACACATATACATATATCTATGTACACATATGAATGTTTATTTATATATATATGTATACGGTATAACATTACGGGTTATATTGTGTTGAGAGAATGGATAATGCAATACGTTTGTATGTGTATTTCTATGTGTATATATACATAGATATATATATATGCAAATGTGCATATGTGCACGATCGGCAGGAATCTCTGGCATACATTCGAACGATTATCGTGAATCATTAGCGATATCATTTACAGTATTTTTTTTTTGTTTTTTTTTTTTGTTTTCACGAATTCTTTCAACATGGATACGCGTACAATTTGTTATAGTCGCATAAACAAATAACGAAGAAAATTCGTTATTGCAACGAGTAAATAATTTTACAAGCGATTTAACAGGAAACGTTTTAACATTGTACTTCATTACCGGTATACACACACTGTACAACGTTTTATTTGTTATTTTTCGTATACTTTAAAACGATCGTTTCCTTTTTTTTACATTTTTCTTTTTTCTTTTTTGTTACATTGTTTTTCACAAAGTAAATCAAATTTTAATCTAAACGTAAATTGTCTTGTATCGATATTTCATAAAGAGCAAGATATTTTTGTCGATAGACGAAACGTGTATCTAGAAATTTTTGCTTTCAACGCGTTCTAGAAAGGATATTAAAAGGTAGTCGCAAAAGAAGAAGAAGAAGAAGAAGAAGAAAAAGAAGAAGAAGAAGAAGAAGAAGAGAAAATCGGAGGAAAATCGTTACACGGTGAAAAAGTTTGGGCAGCAAGAGTTGAGAGAGAAACGACGAAAGGTTTCATAAAGTTTCGAACGGACTCGGTGGTTACTTTTCTAAAAGTGCACCAGTAATGTTGCCTCTAGAAGAGAGAAAAATACAGAAGAGATTTCTAGATGATCTATCTGGTTTTTAAATATATCTACAGTTAGTCCCAAAAATGATCTAACATTTTTATTTAAATGATAACATTTTCTCAAATTTATCAACAACAACAACAACAACAACAAAACCAGGGATGAATTTCATTGAAGTATTTCAATATTGATTTATTTATTTTTGTAATATTTTATTTTCTATGACATATATACAGTATAATTTAAACTGTATTGAGAGAGGGAGAGAATATATATATATATATGTATTTTATTCGACGTTGACAAATTTATCGAATTTTTTGATAAAATAACGAAATGATTTTCTTTCAAAAAGAGATGTGTAATATAGGAAACATGGAGTGAGTGTTATGTTGGTAACTCCTAGCATGCCAACCGTGTAAACTTATAGTCGAAGTTGGAAACAAAGAGAGAATAGAAAGTCATCTTGGGAACCGTAAAGATGCGCATTTCGTCAGCTCGTGCACAATACAAATGCATTTTTCAGATATACGTTGTTCAACGAACATGGTTGTGAATCGATGTGCTGTGAATGTTACGTTTCTTTATTTGTTCTATTTCTTTTTCACACTTCCATTTTCTTTAAAAGAAAATGTGTTATAAATATATATATACAGGTGGGGTAGTAGAACATTCATTCATTCGAACAAATCGTGCACAAATGATTTTTCTAACAATTTTTCATACCTGTTCTACGAATCATTGAGTATTAATTAATATTGCGATTTTTAAAGGGAAAAACGTGTTAAATGAAAAATGATGAGTAATGTTTAGTCACGTGAATTTGATATTTATTAATAGATTGATGTGTGCAAAAACATTTTTCAAAATGTCATCGTGATATTTTCATTCTACACGTGTTATTAAATTTTATTTGATCTTTTTTTTTATCTTTTCAATACAACACAATCTTTGATCTAATATTAAACTTAATTAATTAAAATATTATAGAAAGTGTACATAGGTACAGTTGTTGTAAAGTTTTGAGCTTATGCATTAGAAAATTGACAAGAAAAAAAAAACTTTGATTGATTTTTCAATTCATTTTGATGATATATTTTTCAATTTCATACAATATTCTCTCGTAATATTTTCTCGAAATAATTGAAGAAGTCAAACGATTTATTTCTCTTTATTCTCCAAGGTATATTAAATCTTGAAAAAGAATCTACATATAGTAGACTTTATTCGATGATACTTTGCTCTCGATAAAATGAAAAAAAAAAAAAAGAAAAGTATTCAGATTTCAATATTGCATTGATACAATTGTTACTCTGTTCATCTTTGAAAATAATATCGAATATCGAACGTGACACATATTTTGATTCATAATAATAATAAATGTTAAAATTACTCACTCCTGGAAATAAGCAATTTTAATTTTTTTTTTTTTTATATTCCACGAGAATAAAACAAAAAAAAACAGAATATTTTTCGCAAATGTAACTCATCGAAAAAAGATCATTGTATATTTTTTTTATTTTTATATGTTTGAAAAAGTCACACGACGAGTTATGGTTTTTCTACTTCGACGTGAAAACTTTCGCGATAAAGAGAGAGAGAGAGAAAGAAAGAAAGAAAGAAAGGGAAAGTTGTAGAGTACGATTTTGAAATTTAAATCAAGTTAAAGTTTCTCAAAGAATAATGGTTGCTTATGGGTGAGAAAATTGTCCTTATTTCCATCGACGAACATCGACTAGACAAGATTCTTTGTTCAATAATTTACTTAAAAATATATATATATATATATTTATATACAATTGACAAAACTGTAAATAATATTTAATATTACCACATAAATTAAACGTTTTAAAATCAATACTACGAGAACTTAAAACGAATTTAGTAAAGATATTCAAAGTAGAAAGTCTTTGTCTTTAAAAAAATACGCACCCTTTAAAAGCTACTTTTACGTATTTTCACATTGAAACGAAAATGAGTAAGCCACTTTTGGTTGTGTGTTGAAAAAAGAATAGAAATAAAATAATAAAAAGAATCAAGGTAGGGATGAGAAGAAGGAAAAAGGATAAACACACGACAGAAAGTATGAGAGAGAGAGAGAGAAAGAGAGAGTCATACGCAAAGCTCGAAAACATTCTTGTTTGCGCGTAACGAGCGCTTTTAATTTGCTAACAAAGGCCAAGCTCGTGCTAACGATCGCAGCAGGCTTTGATTTCGGCATTAAGCGAGATAAAAATAAACTATCTCTCTTTCTATCCTTCTCTCTTTTTATCTTTTTTTTTTTTTTTTTAAATGTTTCCTCTCTTCTCTCTCTCTCTCTCTCTTTTTCGTTCTTTCATTTTTTTAATAATGCATTTCCCTTTCTCTCCTTTCTCATTCCTCTTTTTTTGTCGTTTGAAAAGTTTTTCGCATTATGTAGCAGAAAATATACAGCATCTGCTGTTGCGCTTCGTGTCATCGAAAGCTTGGAAAAGTTTTACTCGCCGATATTCGTTTTCCTGTCGAAATGACTAACGCATTCTATCGATTTTTTCCACATTCGTACGTTCGTTCGTTCATTCGTTCGTTCGTTCGTTCGTTTGCTTGATTTTATTTTATTTTTTTGTTCTTTCTCTCTCTCTCTCTCTCTCTTTTTTATCTGTAGTTCTCTCTCATCTTATTGCAAGCTCGTATCTAGATTTTTTGTCACGATCGTACGTTGTATTTCGCATCGATACCTATCTTTTCTTTTATACATACAAATGTATTTTCTATACTAATGCATATATATATATATATATACATTCTTATTTTTGTTACTTTTTCTTTCTATCCTCTCATCCTTTTTTTTTTTCGTACGGACCAATTCCATTTGTATTTCATTTATTTATTTATATTTTATCGTGGAAATTGCATTTATATATATATATATATATATGTGATCGTTAGTGTTCTAACGCGAGTGATCACTGATTCGAGTTTGAAAAGAAAGTTCTTTTTTGTATTGGAATAATTAAAAGTTAGGAATAAGTTTAGTAAATAAGGCTTTCGTATTTTTCTTAAGAATAAGATTTCAGTTTTCTATTCGAGTTCAAGCCCCTTTCGTTTTATTCGAGAAACCTTTGCAGTTGTTGTTGTTGTTGTTGTTGTTGTTCTTGTTGTAGTAGTAAATGTATAGATAAGTATTACCTGTTTTAAGTTCGTTCGATAAGAAATAGTACGAAGTGGTAGATAAAAAAACAAAAAAAAAAAAGGAAATAAGAAAAGAAAGATGAGTATCGAGAGAAACGACAGAATGGTTGGTAGAGAAACAAGCCAAAAGGATTTTAGTTTTTCGCGTTTCGTCTAGCAGAACGAACCAAGGCCGCCGAACGGTTTGAATTTTCGTCGGGTCTGCTAAGTCCCTAAGCAGCTTACCGTTTTCGTTGTGCGCTTCGCGGATAGAGACAAAGCCGAGAATGCTTGATACTAGTAAGAGGGAAAATAGAATGATAGAATGAAAAAGAAATAAAAGATGAACAGAAGAGAAGAGAATTTTTCCAGGTTCCAAACGAATTACGAAAAGTATCGATACACTTCAATCGTTCGAATCTTCTTGTTATCCTGCTAGTGATTTTCTATTGTTCTTTTTCTTCAATTTAATGTTCAAAGATTTGTCTTACTACCTTCATTGTATTCTTGTCTTCTTTCTAAACCTATATACGGATTTCTTTTGTTCAATTTTTCCTTTTTATTTTCATTCTCTATGAATGTAATACACTTGTTATTTAATCATGTTTAAAATTATATATTTATGGCGCGTTTAGTTAAAGGGTAAATTGAGAGATGCGCGCGCATACTGAGAGCTGCGCGCGCATCCGTAAGAGTCCCAGATTGAGAACGCGATAGAAATCTCCTGCGCATGCGTAAACTAGTCAGGTGACAGAAGCTTAAAGTTAATATTGTTAATATTAAAAGTTTTTAACATTTATTTATTGTTAATAATTATTTATATATATATAGTTATATGTTTTATTATTAAAGTGATTTTTCTTACGTTGTGCAGTGAAAAATTGATGAGTGATAAAACTTGTGTAAAAAATTTTGATTAATTAACTTTATAAACATTCATTATATTTTTGACAAATTGAGGTTAATTTTTGTAAGTATCTTTTCTTTATAAAGTATATATTTTATTAATTTATTAAATTTAACAATTTTGTTATATAAATCTTTTTATTTTATATTATAGATCATTATTTATTATCCGGATTTCAATTGGAAATGGATTCTAGTTTTGCATTACAATATTTGTAAGTATTGAAGTTGAAAAAGTTGAAAAAATAATCTACAAAATACTAAATAATATAATTAAATATCTTCTTAGAAATATTTCCCTTTTAAAAAACATGTTTAATTAATTGTAAAAATATTTTAGGATTATTTTAGTTTTGTTACATCAATGTACCAATGTATGTATATTAACCCATGTACATAAAACACCTATTGTTTTATTATACCATAATTGAACAGCTGATAAAGAAAGAGATATAAATAATATTAAATGAAAATTTGAGATAATGTGTATAACAACAAACTAGACAATGTTATAATACTTTGTATTTTTTTAAATGTTACTTTCATTTCTTTTTCTTTACAGCCAGTCAATTGTAAATAATGTAATTTAAATGATTCCTGTGTGTGATAGGGATGAGATTATTAAATAAATTTCTAGTTTATCACGTTCATTAGAATTAGGATTAGTAAATTCACATGATCAAATGATTTGATAGTAAAACAAACAAATATATGTATTTACACTATCCCCTATCATTTAGGATCATTTAAACACAGGTTTAAATCAGTCATTTGACATGAAATTTTGCAGCTCTTGTAGACGATTATTTACAGATCACGAACGTGTGTCTGAACGTTTGTGGAATTTCATGGAAGAGATTTAGATTCATTGCGTACTGCATTCCACCCAAACACAATTCAACGAAATTCATGATACTACATCAGCAAATAAATCTTCTACATTTTCTCTTATTTATTTTCTTTATATTTGTTATTTTAATCGTGAGATAAACGAGAAACATCGATAAGCAATCGAGTATTATCAAGTCCTACGAAGAATGATAATAAAAAAAAAAAACAAAAAAAAATATAAAAGAAAGAAAGAGAGAGAGAGAGAGAGAGAGTAAAGATAAAAAGGAAATCGTTATATCGAGGATAGTTGTTATTAATCGACGATCGGGTTTTAATATTTCAGTCTACCGAATCAAATGTTAAATTCATGAGTAATCTTTTCCTTTTTACCACCCCTCGTATTTGTTGTAAAAAAAAAAAACAACAACAACAACTGTGTGTCCATTTGAAAAGTAACCAACGAATCTGATGGATAAAGTATTGTTCTTTTCTTTTTTAAATGTTAATAAAAATTCTTTTGGATAAACCATTCGTATGGTTACAGATCAGCATTGTATTTTATCAGATTGGTTGTATATAATACTCATAGTAATTTGCATACAATCATATCAACCAATAATGCAGATAGTACCTGCAATTGTTCCGCACGTATTAATAATCTTTCTATGGGATTTGTGATTCTCGCGAATTGGAATGTAGTAGACGATCCGATAACAGGTAAAGGGGTGTGAGGAGGTGGGATGCCTTCAATGGATTATTTTTTACTAAATCTGAATTTCAAATGATTTGTACGATGTGCTCGGCGACCTTCCACGTCGACACCCTTAGTGAGAAAGGGATCGATCGAATAACGAGCCTTTCTATTTTACGAGTACAAATGCTGCTTCAGAAAATATATACACAATACAAACTGAGAAAATATAAAAATATTTTTATCAAAGACTGTAGTTCTCTTTTTCTTATGACGAATACGAATAAAAACCAAGTTTATACATTAAAAAAAAAAATATATATATATAAATCTTTCCTGAAATTAAAAAATAAAATTATAAAAGTGGGTGGGTGGTTTGAGAGGAACGTTTCAGTAAGAATTCGTGATTTAAATTACACTCGATTTTCATTTTGCTTGCAATAGATGATTACAATTTTGAAATATGTCAATGTTATAGACAGATTTGCAATTATTCTATATGAAACGTAACGGGAATGAATGAAACATTATTATTGTTAAAAATAATACGACACTTTCGATTGAGAAATTTTTTGATTCAACTACCATCAAAATAATCTAACCAGGATTTAGTATTTTCTATTTTTTTTATATTTCAATTCAATAACAAAATTGAACGTGCTATTTTGCTAAATTCAATCGCAATTATGTGACAAATGTCTTGACAAGTATTTAAAGCATGAAAGTAGAATTCACGTGGCGACCATTTGTCTCGATATTTTGTTTCATGCTATTCGAACAAATGAAATACAATCCCAAATATTGTTTATATTAATTGGTAGACATTTTATATATTTCATGCTTTCAATGTTTAGATGAAAATTGTAGTTTTTATTTTTTTTGTAATATTCTTGTTTATCAAGCAACACTAATTTTGTATCATTTTGTTTACAGCAACAGCAGCAACAACAGCAGAAGCAGTCAGAAGATCGGATCGATGATGTTCCAGAGAGAGGTTTCTGAATGAACAAGATTTGGCGGTGAGGGTGAGTTCATATTGAATTATATAACAAATTGTTTCTTATTTCATATTCTAACAAATATTTGAATGAACTTTAGTAGCACAAAATATTGAATACATGTGTATTTAATATTAAAACAAGATTCAATGTCTACTAGCACAAAATATTGAAAAATATTGAATACATATGTATTTAATATTAAAAAGAGATTCAATATCTTTTGTTGACACATGTATTGAATATTTTTCAATATTTTATGCTACTAGGGAACATATTTGAATTCTTATTTTGTTTAATACGAAGAGCCTACTTTACTGTAGCATCATTTGGTCTGACAAATCGTAACGAAGCATGATAATGGGTAGAGAGAAGTGCAAAGGGTTAATATTCGTGACAATGACGAGCACAGATTCGCAACATTCTCTCTCTCCCTTTCTATTTAGGTATATTAGGTAGAGGTTTGCAACAGAGTAGTGACACACGATGGGTTTCGTGTTACCTTCGCGCTCGACCTAGCGTGTATTTCGAGATTGAACATTCATATAAGATGATGATGTACATGGTACGTCACGTATTTGTAGCCATAAAGCAACGCCTGGATCATTGACATACATAGAGGGTTGTAGGGTATATATCTCCATATGTCTCTATTTCTCATTATAAAAGGGAGAGAGAGAGAGAGAGAGGAAATATAAGTGAAGTAGAGAAACGTGTGTAGTCGTCATTGGTATAGTTGTTTACCAGAGTGTGTCCAGTCACATATAAGAGAGCCTAATCACGAGGGTATATAACTGTTAGTCGGATACCGTGGAAATGTAACAGCAGTCGGCTCATTGTTACGAGCCACTGGTGTCCCTTGCGTCGAAAACAGGTTAAAGGTAATTGAGATGTTCTCTGACTTCAGTTACCTTCAGCAACCCTTCGTTACTCTTTCTCTCTCTCTCTCTCTCTCTATCTCTATCTCTGTCTCTTTTTCTTTCTCAATACTGCGTTTGATCTATTAGCACGATTGCAAATAAACGTACTATGTTTCATCTAACATATTTTCACATAGATGTGAAAACCTGTCCAATTTTGTACTTCTATCTTTTTCATATTTGAAATGAACATATTAGGTATAAAATCAAAAAAGAGAAAGAGAATACTAACACAGTATTGAATACTACAATACAGTCATAGGCACTTACCCGATAGTTTTCGCATGGCACCAATGTCGAGTTATAATGTTAAGATGTTAGAAAGAGAAGAAGAAAATGTACAAAGTAGGAATGAAAGAATGAATAAATACATGTATCTACACACACATATATATATATATATATGTATACATATACTTGGAATTTTGTTAATTCTATCGATCGAAGAAACATCACAGTTTTCACGTGTGYGTGTGTGATTGTATTATACACCATAATACACGTACAACGACTTGCAAAGATTTGTTTTTTTTTTTAACGTTACGGATTCGTTCGCGTTTAGGAATATATCGGATTATCAAGGAATTTAAATTTTACCCGAATACATATATGGGATTTAAAACGTCGCTTTGAAATATTCGCGGTGTACGATCCCAAAACTCGCACGGATATATTCTACTAAACCCTTCTAGAAGTCTATAACTTTTAGCTATGGATACTTATGGGACGTACACGGGGAATACTTCTCATACGTATGAGAAAATAGATATGCATGCATCTATATCCCATGTGCACATATATATATATATATGTATGTATGATGTTTACATACACATTTATACGTATTCATGATGTTTGCGAGGCTTTATTGCAAACGAGAACCATGTTTTCAGTCTGGACTTCTTCTCTTTTATTCTCTTTTTTCTTTCTTTTTTAACATATATATATATATTTTTTTTTGTATGTATGCATATATATATATATATGTGAAACTTGTGTCTTTCTTTCACATGCGTTTCAATATGCCAGCTGGATTTTAAATGACGAGTTATTACGAATGCATAAACGCAGCTTTTTCGGATACCAGGATTAACTATTTGAATTCTTTTTCTTGTCCTTTTTTTTTTGGATCCTATTCACATCTCGCTATTTCCATATTTTTTTTTTTTTTTTTTT